AAGGAGGCGCTGGAATGCTCGGGCCACGGCGAAAGAGTGTGGGCACGGGGAATACGCGGTCGTGGTGCCGGAGCTGCGGAGGCAGGGGCGATCATGAGCTACATGGTTGAGATCAGGGCCAATTTGGCTCAGCCGAGGGGACAGACAGACACGCGAGCCATGCCATAAGCTGTAACAGCGTCATCAGCTACATCTCAGTGCAGCATGCCCTATAGCGCGGAGAGGTCGTGCGTTGGTAATATGCGCCCACCGTCAGGGCCCCTTACACGGAAGGCCCCTTGCGCAGCCAGGACTAAACCAGGAATAGTCCTCTCCCTCCTCCTTTTCCTCCTCCTCCTCCTCCCTCCACCGCCCGCCCAATGTCTCGAGCCTGTGGCAATGTCATCAACTCGTCGTTGTCATTGTCGTCGTGGTCGACATCGTGGTCGTCGTCGTTGTCCTTCTGGGTCGGAGGCACCAGCCGTAAGGCCTTCACAGTAGCTCCCTGGTGCCGACATTTAGGGGGAACGCCGGGAGTGAGCAGATCAATGACGCCTGACGTGTGGGGACCTCCAGGAGCGGGCGTACGAGGCCGAATCTCGCTGCCCCCCCGTGTATTGATGGTTTGAGCAGCCCCGGATGCGTGTGCTGCTTCTGATCGTCCACCTGCATCGTCAGCAGCGACGGGGTCCGTGCCTTGTCCTCCTTGGGCGGCGCGCATAAGGATCGAGTATAGAGGGTCGAAGAAGGGCAGTTTGACACTTTTTGGTCCTACTCGGGGTCCCTCGTGGCCACGGCTGCATGCAGCTTGAAAGACTGGCACGGATGGACCTGGGGAGGTGTCCGGGGACCTGCCCTGAGCCGATTCTGCCGCGGGCGAGGCGAGGTGGACAGTTTTCTGAGGAGGCAGCGGGTTTCTCAGAGGCCCTCCCGCCCTCCAACACAAAGACTTCTCATCCTCCCTGCCTTCTTGGAAGGCCGCCTCCCTCGCCCCATCCCCTTCAGCGAGCGCGCCACTAGGACCAAGCCGTCTCCTTCTCGCTGTCGGACTTCTTGCTCGCAGCCTCCCCCACGACGGGCTCGCCGAACGGTGTCAGCGGCTGCAGCACGGCCGTGATGACAGAGCCAGGAAGCTTCACAAACATAAACTTCTGGACCTTCGCGGGCGGTATCTCCGCTGGCGCTCAGGCCTTGGGCGCGCAGCGCGGGGACGGTATCCGGCGCTGGCGAAAAAACGCCCGCAGACGTCAAAGAGTTTATGTTTATGCTGCTTTCTGGTTCCCTCGATGAGCTTCGTCGGCTTCTCGGACGCTTCCCCCTCGGATGCCGAAATCTCGGACTTCTCCCCCTCGGTCAGGAGGACGCCAACAACTCGACTGCGTCGATCCTGGCCAGGCCCATCTTGGGCCGCCCCGAGGATCAATGCCTACGCCATCCTGGCGTGACCAGGGCGCCACACACACCGATCCTGGACCCAAGATCGTTCTGGCCAGGATTGGTCCAGGTGTGCAAGCCGACGCCCTCCGACCTCCACCTTGAAGACGAGCTCCTGGATGCCGACCGCACGCCCGGGAAAGAGCGCCAGCAACAGCAGCGCGGCCCCGGCCAAGCGGCTCGCCATCGTCTGGAGTCTACAGCTGAGCACCTTTACGATATACGGATGCGACCACGAACACGCTCGACGTGCCTTGAGCCCGCGAGGCAAGGTTCGGCTGGCAGGAGAAGAAAAGGGATGAAGATCTTTGTTATTTTCCCGCAAGCGGCGCGGGGGTCCGGCTGGCAGTAGAAGAAAAAGGAGGAGGATCTTGCTGCTTTGCTGGAAAAGGGGTGGGGCCAGAGTTCTCTTTTAATAGTGTAACTGTCCCCGGTGCCATGCTGGGGGTGGGCCAGCGGAAGTAGCTGCGGGAAATAAACCTCATTGCCTTTGCAACAGATTCGTTTCGCGCGTGCCCGCTCGAGGAAATTGCGCCCCACATCTCGGATCCTCAAGAAATAACGGGGCCCGCAGATCCCCCGTGTTTCTTCGTTTCGCGCAGAATCTTCGACACGTAACACGGTCTGGAGGCCCGTCAAATTTGCAGTAAATGCGCGAACGTTCACTTTTTGTGTGCCCGCTGGAGGATGGCGCGTCTTGCGCGAAGTAAAGCGAATCGCTTGTTGTACAAAACTTGAAGGGCTTCGGCGCTCCAGGATGTCCAGGTACATGGTAAAGTACACATGTTTGTTTGTTGCGGATGTCTCGAGCGAAACGCTTGTTTCGTCAAGTAAGTTGTCCCTGCCCGGGGGGACAAATGTCAGAGGATGTCTCAGGCGAAATGCTTCTTGTCACGCGCCCAGGTCGCCCAGGGCGGTATCGAACATGTCTGTCCCTAGATGGAACCACGTACCTTCACATGTCCAGGCCACAAAGGGGTGGTATCCAAGAAAATGTCCCCGCGCTGGAACCATGTGCTGTTACGCGTCCAGGCCACCCAATGGGGTACCTAACATGGTGGCCCCGAGCCGGAACCACAGATTATTACGTATCCAGGCCATCCAGAGGGGTATCTAACATGCCTGCCTCAAGCTAGAACCACGTGTTTATAAGTGTGCGGGCCACCCATGGGGAGGGGTATCTAACTTGTGGTCGCCTGGTCAAGCGTGAAACCACATGGTTCCTAACGCCCCAGAACGGGACAAGCGTGAAAACACATGATTCCTCACGCCCGAGAACAGGACAAGCGTGAAAACACTTGGGTGCCTAACGCCCCAGCGCGGGACAAGCGTGAAAACACGTGGGTTCCTAACACCCCAGCGCGGGACAAGCGGGACAAAAACGTCGGTTCCTAACGCCTCACGTGAAAACACTTGGATTCGGAGCGCCTCAGAGCGTGGGGCCCGAACGCCTGGGAGCTGGAACCACGTGGTTTTACTTGTCCAGGCCACCCATGGGGGATGTTCAACATGATTGCCCCGAACTGGATCCACGTTTTTACGTGTCCAGGCGTGTTCATGCGTTCAGGTCGCCCACGGGGATGCCCAACATGAAGATGTGTTGAAGATGGATTGAGCAAAACTCTTGTGTTCACGTATCCAGGTCGCCCAGGCAAATGTCTGACATGAGGATCTGTTCAGGATCTCTCGAGAAAAACTCTTGCTGTCATGTGTCCAGGTTGCCCAGGCGGGTGCACACCATGAGGATATGTTGGGATGACTTGAGCGAAACATGTGCCTTCACGTGTCCAGGTCGCCCAGGCGGGTGTCTAACATGAAGGTGTACTGATAGTGTATCAACCGAAACGTTTGTTTGCATGTGGCCAGGCCGCCCAGGCGGATGCCTAACATGATAATATGTTCAAGATCCCTTGAGCGAAACGTTTGTTTGCACATGTCCAGGTCGCCCAAGCGGATGCCTATCCTGGAGAACGTACGCAAGATCTCACGAGAGAAACGCTTGAGTTCACGTGACCAGGTCGCCTAGTCGGATGTCTAACATAGCAGCCCAACGTCGCATGGCCCCTGCCCGTCCGTGGCGCGTCCACTGGCGCACTGGCGCGTCCCCAGATGCGTCCCTTGCGACATTCCCTGGCGAGACGTGCCCTGACACGTTCCCTGGCACGCCCTTCGGGGCGTCCCATGGCACGTTCCCTGGCTCGTCCCCTGCCGCGTTCCCTGGCTCATCGCCTGACGTTTCCCCTGCCTGTTCCGTTGCGCGTCCCTTGCCACGCCCCCTGGTATGACGGCCTCTGGCACGCCCCATGGCGGGCGCCTTGGCACGTCCCGTGGCAAGTTCTTGACACGTCCCTGACACTTCCCCTAACACGTCTCCTGGCACGTCCTCTTGAACATCCCAAAGTGTGCCCCTGACACATTCCGTGGCGCGTCAATGTGCCGTGCGCCCGGTGTCGTCTCATCGCGACTCGGAGCTGAGTTGGATCTTGAGCCCGAACTGATTGAACGTCCCGGACGTTTCGACTGCGACCCGCTGTGGGCCAGCGATGTGCTCAGGCAACTCGAACTTAAGATCTAGATCTGTTCGGTCAGAATTTGAATGCTCAGGAGGACTCGGAAAGAGCACCAGGAAACAGCGAAACTTGCTGACATCAAATTCCACCGAACCCACTTCACCGTATGTGACAGCATCCCCCCCACCGTTTATGAAGCGTCGGCCCTGCCCACCTGCCCCCAAACGAATCAGGGAGTCAAAGGGAGTACCTGATCATCGTGATCGTGAGGCTACCTTGGGGTTGACTCGCATTGTCGTCTGCTGGATGGTTGGTGAGTTGGGTGTTCTGGCTGGCTGGTGCTGGTAACTTAACGCGGTCGGTTGCAACTCTCGCTGACGGCATGAATTCCGCTGCAAAGTCCATTTCCGTGCGGATTTCGCTCCTCGGTCGGAACTCGCACGGACGGAACTCTCACGCGCTGAAATCACATGGAGTGGAACTCCCGCGGACCAGGTTCGCACGATCGGAACTCGTACACCCAGGACGGAACTCGCACAGACGGAACTCACACGCGGCGGAACTCGAACGGACGGAACTCACAAGGACGAAACTCGCACGCGCGCGAATTCCTCCACACGTCGCTCGTCGAGCGGTGCCGGCCGTACTAGCTCCGGGTGTGCGAATTCCGAGTGCCGCCATTCCCCCGTTGGCCTCCGAGCGCCTCTGGATCCAACACCAAAAATCCACCGCTAAAGACCCCCACCGTCATCGATAAACCGTCGGGCGGGAAGAGCGCCTATCGGTCGCCTTCCTCACCTCCTGCGCCACCTGCTCTTCCTTATCCTTCTCCTCCGCCTCCTCATTCGCTTCTCCTCCTCCTTCTCCTCCTCCTCCTCCTCCTCTTGGTGTCCTCTGTGCCGAAGTGAGGCGCCTCCGAAAGGCCTCCTCGCAGCCCAGAAAACCATTCAAAACGTACAATACACCCTGGTCCTCGGACTTCGACCCTCGGGCCCCGAACCTCCTCCTCCTCCTCCTCCTCCTCCTCCTTCTCCTCGTCGTCGCCGCCAGCGTCGTGGCCCTCGCGGGGCGGGCGGCCTCAGCAGACCCGACCGCGAAGTCTTCCCAGCTCCAGGCAAGCGGCGTGAAGGCGCTCACGACATGCAGGCTTACCTCTCAAGGGGGGTGGGCTACTGCACCGAAGGCGGCCCACGGTCCAAAGCCGGCCTCCTCGATCCTCGACGGTAGCGGACTTTGGACGTGTATCGCCCTCTGAGGGCCTCAAAACGCCTCCGAAAGTACATGCATGGAAGGCGGGCAGGTTTCACAAGGTTGCCCTAGCCTTGAAGCTGCGCGCATTCATCGTAACATGTTCAAATTCTTATTTGGGTGAAGCGCAGGCGACCTTGAACATGTGGCTCTCGCATGGAACCAGAACGTTGACGTTGACAAACACACCAGTCACAAGGAATGAGAGCGGCTCCTTTGCACAACATAGCTCTCACCGGAGCGCCGCGCACGTTCTGAGGTAGCATGCCACAGTTTTCCCAACTGTAGGGTCTCAGCGATGATGATGCTGCTGGGGTCCGCCGAGATTGTACCAGGCGAGCTCTGAACAACCGTTGGGGCCCACGTCTTCTGGATGCGAGGGAACCTATGGATTAGCCGAGCCGATCCCTGGAGCGCTTTGGTACACCACCCATCCCAAGACTCCCGAGACGCCTCTTCCCCAGCTGCCACAGCCTCATCCAAGTCGGGCTGCATATCCTCTAGGAACTGGGGGGCTCGCTCGCACCAGGCCTGCTCATCGGGTAGATCTGCGCGGCATGCCAGTGCAGTCTCACGCATCGTGCAGAAAAACGCGTCGAGGCGGACGCCCAGACCTTGCCCCGAGCATGCATGCTGCAATGACCTGCATCCACTGGCGCAAAATCTAGCCCCTCTCGGACGCGCACACCAGCATGAGAAAACCAGCGAACGAGTGACAGAACCATCTCAAGCCTGCGATGACCTGGAGCTCATCATCTGGATCCTTCGGGCGGTAGAATATCGAAACCCACGACAGATTGATAGTCCCATTCCTCTCCCCCAGCTCACGATGCTCGACACCTAGTACTTTGATTAGCTCCATATCCGCGCAATCGACGAAATAGGCCCATGCCTTGGTGAGCACTCGCGACGTTCATCGCGCCGCGGAGTGGGTCGCACGGGCAACAGCTTGGCCGGCGTGTGCCAGAGCACCTCGCCACTCACCTGGCGGTGGCCTGGGCCCGAGAGGCGGATCGAGCGGGAGACGTTGGTGCGATCTGTAGACCAGCTGTTTCGAACCAAGGCAGCCACCCTTGATTTGTAGATGGGCAGGGCGATGCGGTTTCACCTCCCAGCGCGGGTCCACGGCCACTCCTTCGATGAGGCGCGTCATCCCAGGACCCCAAACGAAATTACCCCAGTGCGACCCTACCTAGGAGTTGGAGCATCTAGGAAAGCAGCATCTACATCTACACCGGCAGCTACATTAACATCTACACATGCATCTACATCAACATCAACATCAACAGCGAGACTCACATCTACATCTACATCTACATCTACACCTACATCTACATCTACATCTACATATACACCTACATATATACATTCATCCACATCTACACCTGTCATCTCCGTGGGTGGACATGGGGAGCGGTGGGACTAGGAGTGAGGAGGGAAGGTTATCATATCAGCGCGAAGAGAGATCCATCTCGGGCACTGAGCCTAAAGGCTGGGCACAGCTAAAGCACGAAGGGGAGGGGAGGGAACCGACCCGAGAGACACGAGGGAAACCAATCATGGATTGGGGGGACAGCGGGCCAAAATCTCGCGGGCTTGAAGCTGTCCGCGCTCCCCCCGAGTCGCCGTCTCTTCCCCCAGGTCTCCTCCTCCCTCCTTCCTCCGTCCGTACCCGGCCTTGCCATGCGCCCCGTCCTCAACCTTGGGGTCCTTCCAGGTCTGGGGCGGGCGGGTCTGCGGGCCAGGCGGCATCGTCGTCGTCGCTGACACAGCCGCCGCTCCACGGGGCCTCGAAACCACCTTACAGGGTCTAGAACAGTACGAGAGAGCCGCCCCTCGGCTCTCCTGGGTCAAGGAAACCGCGACGTCACCGTCTCCCCCTAGGGAAAGCCAGACAGGGCTCTCGAGCCCTGGAGTGTCGGACTCCGCGGCGGCCAGCATCTTTCGGCTGGCGCCTTTTGATCTCGACTTCAAACTGGCGTTGAGCGATCGCTCGTCCAGATGTCCGTGCTCGTCCACGAGCACCAAGGTGCCCTTCGAGAGGAGGTCCCTTAGAGCATGATTACCCGAGGAAGGATCCGACTTGGTGAGAGGATCTGAGGGCATTCTGGCGTGCGGGACCCAACGCATACGAGAGCCGACCGAAGCGAGCGAATCTCGAATGACCGCGAGCTCCACAGCATTTCTTCTGTCGGCCCGAGAACCCGCTGAGTTTCGACTCAGCACGTCAAACACGGACTTAGCGTCAACCACGGACAGCCCTGAGGCCGCATCTCCTAGCTGGCATTCGCTGGCCAGCATCACGGTGAAAGGCCGCTGGTTGTCAAACCAAGCAGGCCTGGGAACATCTCCGAACACAGCGTCACGCCAAAGCACCTGAATCCACTGAGCTTCTCCTGTGGCACCCGACAAGGCTAGAGTTTCGGCGGCCACGGTCCTGGACACCGCTCTCTTGATGCGCAGTGATCTCCACGCTAAAACACTCACACGCGCGCGACGGTTGTCGCGTATGATCGAATCCGCGGCCATGATGATCCAGGCCCCTTGGGCTCCACCATGACGCGCACTCCCGGGACCGCCGGCATCGCTCGCGGTAACAAAAGTGACGGAAGCAGGATCCAAGTTCCAGATCGTGAGTCTCTGCTCAGGCGAGGCTTTCAGGAACTTGCAGACCTTGATCAGTGCGAGCGCATCTGCCACGCAAGGTGTGGGCAGGGCTGCCGCAAGCAACGAAGCTGAACCAGCAACGTCCGGGCGAGACTCACGTGCAAGCCACTGAACTTGCGCAGCCACCGTGCGGTAAGAGCTGATCTCTTCCCGGGTGAGTGGTGACTCGACCTGAGATCGACGATCCTTCCCCAAGAACATGGTCGAAAGCTGCTCCCGAATATACTTTTCTTGATCCACGACGATTCGATCGGGCAACTGGCAGAGACGCCGTCCAGCGTAATCGGCCTCGCGCTCCTTCCATTTCCCGAACTTAAATCGATCCGCGAGGGCCTACTTTAGAGACTTCATGACGGTCTCTTCGCCAGACAGGAGGAGATCGTCAACCTCGATCAGCACTAGGGCCTCCAGCCCTCCCAACTTGCTCCTCTTCAGCCAGAGACATGGCTCTAAAAGAGACTTGACAAAACCGAGCGAGGACAGGAATTCCGTAAGAGTGCGGTGCCAAAGCAACGGGGCATCATTAAGACCATACGCCGGCGCGACTAGCTCAATTAGGGAGCCCACGGGCAGGCTGAGCCCGGAGCAGGGTTCCACATAGATTGCACCATTCGGACGCTCTAAACGATTCGACTGGCAAAACGCGTTCTTAGCATCAGCGATGTTCAGAACCCAGTTCATCGAGGCGATAACCTGCAAGGTGACGAGGATACTCTCAGTCTGTGGCGTCGGGGCGTACACGGTCAGATGCTCACCGTCGGGGTCCTGGTGCCCGTGAACACACCAGCGCGACTTCGCCTTCGCCTTAGCTCCAACCCCTTCCATCGGCTTAAAACGACGCACCATGCGAGACGATAACACTCGATCGGGATGGCGCCTGCGAGCCAGACGTGCCTCGTCTGGAGAGAGCACTCGCACTGCGCCTGATGACAGGATCGCTTCCCACTCAGCGGTGTCAGATTCTGCCAACTGAGCGCGCTCCTCTGGAATCAGATTCTTCATGACCACCTCAGCTCCCCTGGGGTTGGATGGCTTTCCCGATCCTGAAACCGTGGCCGTGCCTGAAAACTCGTCCGACTCCGAGGAATCCTGGAAAAGAGCTAAATAGTCGGGGGCCCCCCTCATAGCTGACCAACGCTGCAGCTCAACAAGGAGCTCAGCATCCTGGGAGTCGTCCATCTCGTCCAGGCCTCCAGGAGGGGTCTCATCCGGGGCCCCGTCTCCCCTCGGGGCTGTCGGAACCACGTACCTTCCCAGGTCCATAGGTTGCGGGGGGGGAGCAGGAGCGTCAAGCGCACGACGCAAATGGTCCGGGAGCTCCGTAGAGGGGGAAACGGAGGGAACGAGAGCGGAGGAGGACGAGGCTGCAGGAGAGGGCCCGGAGGAGGGAAAAGGAGCATACCGTCTCGCGGACGGTCTCGGAAGCGACACCGACCTCAAACGAGGGACTCGCCCCCACACGTGACATGGATGGTGATCTGGAGAGGGTCCCGGGGGCATTCCGTTCGCAGCGCGAACGTTCTCGATTTCTCGAACCATAGTGGCCACTCTGGCGGCCGGGCTCACCACGTCCTCAATCGGGGTCAATCGGGGCCGCACGGCCCTGTCGTCTTCTGAACCTAAGGGTCTGGCGATCCCTCGAGAGGCGGTGGAATCCAGCTCAGATGGCGCTGGCTCTGAACCGCTCGTGGCCCTTGCCATCGAGGGCTCCGACACTTCAGGAATCAGCGTCTCGTCTCGGCTCGGCGGCTCGGCGCGCACCTCAGTCGTCCGAGGAGCCGAGGCGGGAGCAACAGCTGGGGTCGACGCAGGGACAGCGGCAGCGGGATTCAAGACCCGCGTCTCAGAGCTGGGCGCCGCCTGGTCACCAGCGTCGGGCCCGTCCCAGGCCTCAGGAGGAGGGGGTCCCTCTGCCGCAACGTCAACAGCCCCTGTCTTACGCCCCGGGGCCCTGACCTGCTCGCGTAACACCTCAAAACGAGCCGAATCCAGCAACTCAGCGCCGAGGGACTCCTGACGAGTGGCAGGTCTAACTTGCTCCTCGGAGCACTTGAGTAAGCGGGTTCTCATCGCCACCCACACCGTTCCTTTACTTTGATAAACCACGGCCCCGGGACCGGTCCACCTGTCACGTTGCAGTGAGTGAGATCGGTTGGAACCCGTCAGCCTCCTCCACACGTACACCCATTCCCCTGGCTTGAAAAACCATTCGGCGTGAAGCCGAGCACGGCTGGCCT